AACCAAAACAAAAATTTATCAAATTTATATTTTATTTGAAATAAAGGATTTCATGAAAGTAATGTTTTTAGAAAAATCTAATATTTTATAACAAAATTTAAGATTCAAATTTTATTAATCATTTTGCTAATTATATTTAAAAAATATATGTTTGTCCCACCAACTTTTATTGATTAAATGGAGGAATCAAATGTTGAAAGTGAAAGTTGAATGAATGATTAAATCTGTTGTAAAAATAAAAAATTGTTTGAGAGATCAAATATGTTATACTAATGTAAATTAGTTTGAGAGACCAAATCTGTTATTGAAATGAAGGAAAGAGGAAGGTGAATAGACAAAAAAGCACCCTCACTAATGGAAACTTAGCTGAATAAGTTAGAGGAAGGATCATATCCGTTATAAAAATGAAACCATAAGGAGCCTTACTCATTAATTTGTGTAAACTACAGGGACCAAATTTGTATTAACTCATAAAGAACTTGATTTAAAATAATAAATATAATAATTGAATGTATTTATTTAATTTTGTAACATGCGAAGTATGTTTTGGATGTGTTTTGCAAACCCAGAAATGGTGTTGACGGAATTTGCACATGCCTTACAATCATAATTTGAACATATCGGATTTTTAATTATCACGTTTGTTTTTTCCTTATTATAAATTAAATTCATTATATAATAAACATTTTTAATTATCATGTAGTAATTGTTTTATAAAGATCAAAAGTATCTGAAGTTCTCAGGTTCAAATCAAAGAAGGAATAAAAATTTCTTTGTGACAGCCGAGGTTCAAATGCGAGACTCCGGGTTATCTGTAAAGCAGATGGTCGTACATAGTAGTCGGCTCGCATAGCAAGTTAGATATTCAGGTTAATAAAAAAAAGTAATATATGTTTTTAGTAGATTTCGGGATTAAAAATACGATATTAAATTTTAAACGTGTATTCCTATTTTAAAAATCAAAATCAAATTCAAAATAAAATTTTGCATCTGATCATGTAATAATGTTATTATTATGATTTTTGACCAAGTAATAATGTTATTATTTAAAACAAAATAAAATGAAAAATGTTAAAAAAAATAATTTAAAAAAATAAAAAGTACCTGAATTATTTTCCAAAGTTGGGACCCGCGTACTCTCTAATTTATTGCTACTGCTCAGGTCCATAATTAAGACTTTATTATTAAATAAAAAGTTCAAAATTCAATATATTTGTTTATTTATTAAAGTTATTTCCACTTTCTGTCATTCGCTCTATTCCAATTATTTTTATTTTTCATTTTAAAAAAAATATTTTGTTAATTATTATTAGTAAATATATTAATAAAAAATTAGAATGGTAGTCGCACAATACATCGAGATACATCTCGATTTTAGTGTTTCGTTCTCTTTTTGTTTCAGTCGATGTTATAATACAGTTTTATGTGTTTTTGAGAAAACGATAATGTTTTTATTTTTTAATAAAATATAAATATTAAGATTCATAAAAATTGAAAAAAAAATATTGATATTAGTAGCAAACTAACTATTTAAATTTTTTCTTTTTTTTGTGTATTTTCTTTAACTCATTTTTTTGGTTTAATAATATAATTTTTTATAAAGATAATAATTAAGTAGTTTGTTAGAACTCATTATCATAATTATATTTTAGATTTTTTATATTTAAAATAAGATTTTTATCTTCTATTTGATTATGTTTATCTGCAATTAGTTACACGAATTCAAACATGAAGCTTTAATAATTTGTAACTACGCACAATTTACTTGTAATCTTAAATTTTAAGTAATATGCATCAATAAACAATACTTTATGCATAAAAAATTGTTTTTAAGATTTTTTGTCAATACTTTATAATATAGTATAGATAAGATGGTGTTAAGTTTTTAATCTCATGTAATAAA